TTTATAACATTTTGTATTGGATCCAGAATGATAGTAAAGCAGGTAGAGCACTTGCCTTGCATTCAGCTGAACTGGGACTGATCCCCAGCATTTCATACGGTCCAGTGAGCACTGCCATGAGTGAATCTTATCATAATCTCTTGAGTATTGCCATGCATGGCTCAAAAAACAACAGTAAAAGAGTGCGCTTCAACCATTTTGTATTTAAAAGTATGCTATTTTAAACCTTTCACTTTCTAGCCCCGCTAACTTTTACCTTGCTATTACTGGTAGGTTGTTTGACAAATTGCATTATTAAGATATTCTATTGCTGCGCATATGCTGCCCGAGCCCATGTGCTGCTTGTGCCCACGCGGCCTAGCACATGTGGCGGCTGAGCACATGTGTCACCCGCATCTCCCCTCTTGAGATGTGTACTTTCATGTTTTTGCGTCTAATGCTGGTATGTGTGTAGAGGCTCTCTCCGCTCTTGGAGAAGCCCGTGTTCTCTCTTGAGTACGTTGCTCTCTCTCTCTCTCTCCTCTCCTCCTCCATACCTTAAAAATCCTCCAAATGAAATCTGTTTATTTCAAAAAAAAAGATACCACATATATGTACATAAACATACTGTTAGAATAAAGGCAGTAGAAAGGCCAAAAAAAAAAAAAGATATTCTGGATATTCTGTTGCTGTAGTTGAGATGTAAAAGACTCTTAATATTCTAAGTGCTCTGAAATTGTCCTCTCCTTTAAGATTTTCTCCAGTTTATGTTTCAATGGCATTGATGTACTTCTTTAATTGGTACTTTGCCAAGTAGTTGTGCTTTATAGTAGTGTCTATAACACATCCATAGCAAAATCAGAGAGAGAAAACTGTTTTTGGTTTTGGGATCGTACCCAGAAGTGCTCAGGGTTTGCTCCTGGCTCTACACTCAGAAATTTCTCCTGGTGGGACGCTACGGGTCACATGGGATGCCAGGGATTGAACCAGGGTAGGCTGCATATAAGGCAAGTGCCCTACTTGCTGTACTTGTTGCTCTGGCCCCTCAAGTGGGAAACCTGAAAGGAAACTTGATGCTCATGAAAATTTGACAGGTTCCTGGAAGGAGATGAAAAATAAAACCCAGTGGTGTGTCATGGATATGCTTTGATTATTTTGTTCTGTGTTATTTTGCATGATTACATTAGGGCAAAGCTGAAGTCAGTTTTCTGTGTTCATGCCAGGGTATTCTGTTTTAATTTGACTATTGGAAGATCAAAATGATACTTGCTGTTTAAGCTCTTGCCTTTTGTACAGTGGACTCTGTCACTCACTGTCACTGTCCTCCCGTTGTTCATCGATTTTATCGAGTGGGCCCAGTAACGTCTCCATCATGAGACTTTGTTGTTACTGTGTTTGGCATATCGAATATGTCACAGTGGACTCTAGCATTTTTTGTGGTTTTTTTTGCCCTTGTAAAAACATTTTTACATTGAGAAACTGCAGTGTGGACAAGATTGTCGTGGTTCCTCACTATACCCCTGAAAAATAACGTGTATTTATTTATTTATGTGTATTTTTTTAACATGGAATGTATTTTTGATTTTTTTTTAACGTGTATTTTAAAGGCAGTAGATCATATTCAGGAATTAAAGAACTTGCCCGAGGAACCAGGACTCCAGGTGACAGAACCCAGATTCATCTTCACACATTAACCCCTAGGCACTTGCCGATTGAATCCAAACTAGAGGCCCCAAAAAGAATTTTCACCAGGCACCTTAGTGTGGATGGATTCTGAGTTCTGTGAGAAATACGTAGTGGCTAAATTTCCTTGAATTAGTGAGGCAGTATTTCCTCATAGTGAACTTTGAGCTGCACTTGGTTTCGGGTTTGTAGATGTGTCAGTTTGCTCATTAGGTTCCCTTTGGGCAAGTCACCTAACATCTCTGTGCCAGGATTTTCTCATCTGCAAAAGGAAGTAACTACTTCCGAGGTTAGGAATGGTGCAGTGAATTCATATGTGCAAAAGCACTTCTGAAACACATGCGGCACCTTGTAAGTATTCAGTAATGTCAGTTCACTCTTAATAACAGCACCTACTTAATCCTTCAGAAGTCTTTTGAATGAGAATTTCTCTTTGTGCTCTTTTATGATTTTGAAAATCTGGATGTTGAACTTACATAGATTATTTTAAAATTCAGTACAAAATAAAAGTAAACAATGTGCAGGAAATCAAGTAATGGTTAACAAAAAATGAGAAAATATCCTGATACTCAATGCTTTGACTTGTTCATGAAATTTTTTCATTTAGGAACTATGCTTGATTCAAGACTGGACTATTACCTGGCTTGGAGAATGTCCCTAGCCGTGCTCAGGGTTACTCTTGGCCCAGTGCTCAGGGGTTGTTCTTGGTGGTGCTGGGGATCTAACCTTTGTCTCCGGCCCACTGAGCTGTCAATCCTGCTCAGTAATAGACTGTTAAGTCCCTCTTCTGGTTTTAAATTAGTGATAATAAAAAATACAAGGATCTGATGTACCTTAGGGGTGCTTTAGGCAGTGATGTTTCATGTATTGGGTGAAAGAGGTTTCAAAACTTTCTTGTATTTGTTACTATCGTGAATGAGCCTTGGAATTAACGTTGTTTTTATAGTTGGCTTTTTGGGCTGGAGCGATAGCACAGCGGGTAGGGCTTCTGCCTTGCACGCAGCCAACATGGTCGACCAGAGTTCGATTCCTCCGCCCCTCTCGGAGAGCCCGGCAAGCTACCGAGAGTATTCGATATGCCAGACACAGTAACAACAAAGTCTCCAATGGAGATGTTACTGGGCCCGCTCAAGCAAATCGATGATCAACGGGAGGGCCTTTGTATTTCAAATGGTGCCAGTACCCTTGTCTGTTGATGGTGATATCATGGGAAGGAAAGAACTTATTTATCATACATTATGATATGATACTGATTCGGATAAGGGTGGTTAGCTGTGACCCCACACTAGATGTTACCCACCAGTACTTTGAGCTTGGGCTTTGAGAGAAGAATGGTCTTAACTATTTTACCTGATCTAAAACAATCAAAAGAATAGTATTCTGTGAAATACTAAAAATATATGAGGTTCAAATTTGAATGTCCACCAGTTTTTTGGAACATAGTCTCACCCATTTCTTTATATAATCTCGGCTTTTCCTTTTCTGCATCAGCAGTGTTGAGTTGCAATAAAGACCGCCTGGTCTGCAGAGCCCACAATATTTATTATCTGACCCTTTGCAGAAAGTTTGCTGAGCTCTGATTTATGATATTCTCAAAAGAATGGCTTCAATTCAGCCTTCTATAATAGATTTGCGTCTGAACAGATTGTAACTGAAATAGTTGATGAATCATTTCTTCAGCTTGATTTTGCTTAATAGCATATTCTCATGAAAAAGTTTTGGTGAATTACTGTGCTGTCTGGAAGCGACACGAGTCAAGGGGTCAGAGCGATAGGACAGCAGGGAGCGCATTTGCCTTGCACACAGCATACCCAGGTTCGTTCCCCTGCAGTTCCGATAGTCTCCTTGAGACCCACCAGGAGTAATTCTGTGTGCATAGCCAGGAGAACTGAGCATTGCTGTGTGTGACCCCAAAACAGAACAGAAGAAGGGACACCCAGTAAAGTGTGTTGTATTGTGCTTAGTTCCATCACTCAGGTCTAGAAATTTAATCCGATGGAGAATACTTCTTACGAGCTTTGTAAATGAAAAACAAACCCATCACAATGATATAGTATATTCATAAGAACTCTCAGATAGCAAAGAATGAAAATACTTTTAAATAATGCTTCTGAAAATAATATAATTTGCAGCCAGGGCTATAGCTGAGTGGTCGACCCCATGCTTTGCATGTGTGCATATCTTGCTTAACTAAAAGAAAGGGATAAATTTATTAAAAATGTATAATTTACTTTTTGGAGTCTATATTTGCATTACTGTTTGGAATTTACATCTAGATTTTATACTACTACAGAAACATTTGCCTCTCCAGAACAACCCCGTCAGCCATTGGGTCATGGCCATCAGTGCTCAGCCTTTCACCCGGCTCTGTACTCAGGGATCATCCTTCACTCCCGGCAGGTTGTGGGGGCTCCACGTGGGGTCCCAGGGGTCTAGCCCAGTGTGCAGGGCCAAGACCCTTACCTGCCGTACTGTCACTCAGTCCGGGAAGAGTTTTTTACTTGAATTTATACATTTTGGAATTGTTCAGTAGCTTTCCATTCCTAATTATGGGGTTGTAAGTGCTATTTTCAATGGAGTAGAAGTTGTGTCCTGGGCTTGAGTGATAGCACAGTGGGTAGTGTCTTTGCCTTGCATCTGGCTGACCCAGGTTCGATTCCTAGCATCCCATATGGTCCCCCGGGCACCACCAGGAGTAATTCCTGAGTGCAGAGCCAGGAGTAACCCCTGTGCATCGCTGGCTGTGACCCAAAAAGCAAAAAAATGTCTGTTCTTTGTGCCTTGGGATGGCTTGGCCTTTATTAAGTCCGTTGTTTGTCCAGGGAGTATTTGTGAAATGGGTAAATCACTAGTGCTGGCCCAGTAAATTGATAGTGGGCAGTCCAACAGGCATGAGGATTTTCAAAAGGTACACTTTTTCAAATCATTGTCAAAGTTAAAGGATAACTTTCTTATGGTCTCTGTAGCATGTTGTTCTTGAAAACTTGTTTAGTTGTGTTAAATATTTTTGGTTACTGGATGTGTGAGGGGAATATTATTACAACAAAATACTTAAGTTTTCATTCTTGGGTGGTACTAAATTGCGCAGGCATAATCGTTGAGTGTACCTCAAACTAGGAAGAACCAATGTTAAGTGCTTAGGTGGATTTTATTTTAATTTTCAGATAAAAATTATTTTCATTTTCAGATAAATTTGAAAAATTTTTAGTGTTAAAGATTGTGCAATGAAATAAATTTTTATGAAGCATTCCACTATAATGAGAAATGATTATTACTTTGGAAAAAATTATAATGCATTTCTTTTTGACAAAATTATCAGCTTATTCATTTGTTTTCAGGCGTATTCTGCATTCTAAAGGGGAGCTAAGTGAAGACAGACACAAACAGTATGAAGAATTTGCCATGTCTTACCAGAAGCTGCTTGCAAACTCTCAGTCCTTAGCAGATCTCTTGGATGAAAATATGCCAGATTTGCCTCAAGACAAGCCAACACCGGAGGGTAAGATGATAGCCCTAAAAACAAATACTGTAGGTTTTTTCAATAAAGTTAGCTTTGCCAGTTGTATATTACTAAAACATCTTCTATTAAGATCAGTTATTAGAAATGCATCTCTCAATGCAGAATGCTTTGATCTTACCTGATGAATTCATATGCTATTGCATTTAGTTTCATGAGGGTGATGCAAGTAGCAATAGTATTCTTGGATCGTATTCTTCAGGGGCTTATTTTATTTTATTTTTTTTTTTGCTTTTTGGGTCACACCTGGCGATGCACGGGGGTTACTCCTGGCTCTGCACTCAGGAGTTACTCCTAGCGGTGCTCAGGGGACCATATGGGATGCTGGGAATCGAACCCGGGTTGGCTGTGTGCAAGGCAAACATCCTACCCGCTGTGCTATCTCTCCAGCCCTGCAGGGGCTTATTTTAACTGTCCTTAGGGTTATGGAAAGATTCTTTTTTTTTTTTCCCAGATAGGTAAGATTGAGGAGAATTAAACCTTTAGCATTCTAATGCTTCTTCTGTATATATCCTACTTTTTAATTCATTGGTTTGAATGCTAGAGTATCTAAGTTACTATTTAGAATTAGAGTTTCCCTTGCAGTTTTGCGAGGTAGTTGCTTTGTGAGAAGAGCAGTTTTCCATGTTACTCACTGGTGTTTGGATTTGATCAGCCTTCAGTTGCTAGGGCTCCTGGTATTTCTCTAACCATCTTGTCAACTGCTCAGCAGTGATTTCATTAGGAGGGTAAAGACAGCATTACCTTGGAAACCTACCTGTCAGTCCTAGTTATTTCTTTTGCTTTGTTTTTGGATCACACCCAGCGTTGCTCAGGGCTTACTCCTGACTCTGCACTCAGGAGTCACTCCTGGTGGTGCTCGGGGGACTATATGAAATGCTGGGGATCGAACCTGGGTTGGCCGCATGTCTCTCTGGCTTAGTCCTTCTCGTTTAAAAATCTCGTTGGCTAGAATGATGGCTTAAAGAACGAGCACGTGTTCAGCATGGGGGAGGTGTGAGATAGGGTCAAAATCCCTGGGTACGTCCCAGGCAGTGTCTGCCACCCCTGATGTGTCCCAGGGCCACTTCCCCTCAGCGATGTGGTGTTTCAGCCCAGCAGTGCCGGGGCCTTGCAGTGACTGAGCGTCCTTATCAAGGTCGATTCTATTCCCTGTGGCATGCAGGCTTGAATCTTTTACCTTTTTCTTTGATAAATAAAATCAACTATTTACCCTTTATTGAATTGTAAAAGCTTTTTGCAAATTAAGATTATTCCTTGTCATTTGAATTATAAATATTTCCCCCAGTTTTTCATTACTTTTAGACCCTGCAACAGATTTTTACCTCTCAGAAGTTGGTATTCTTTTTATAACTTATAATCATTATGTAAATACATTATTTTTAAGATACATAAGGTATTCAGGTATACAGAAAAATGGAAAATGAAAGTCTCTTGGGGTCAGAGTGAAAGTACAGCAGGTAGGGTGCTAGCTTGCATGTGGCTGACCTAGGTTTAGTCCTCGGCACCCCATATGATCCCCCAAGCCCTCCAGGAGTGCAGAGCCAGGAGTCAGCCCTGAACACTGCTGGGTGTGACCCCAAAACAAAACAAGGTCTCCTGTCATTCATTTATTAAGCCAATGAATTATTTTATTAATAATGCATTGTTAATAACTCATTAATAAAAACAATCATTAGTATGAAGATGATTGTGGTATAAGTGATACAGAGTGCTGAGACAGTTGGGAGTGCCTAGAAATAGTGCATTATGGGAAAAGTGAAACTTTGAGCTATGCGTTTTAGAATTGACCAGTTTTATATATTTCTTCTTTTGGTTTTTCATGAAGTAAACCTGATAAAGCACACTAAAATATTTAATAAGAGAGGGGCCAGAGAGATAGTACAGCGGGTAAGACCCTTGCCTTACATGGCCAAGCCAAGTGTGATCCCGGGCATCTCATCTGGTTCTTCGAGCAGCACCAGGAGTGATTCCTGAGAGAAGAGTCAGGAGTAATTCGTGATCAATGCCCAGTGTGACCCCAAAACCAAAAAGAAAAGTTTTAGAAGGAAGGCATCTGCAATGATATTCTCTAGTTTATTAGGGCTTTTCTTAAAACTCAACTTGTGACTTGAGGGTCTGAAATGATAAGACAGTGGTAGTGTGTTTTCCTTGCATGTGACCAACCCTGGGTTTGATCCCCAGAATTACATATGTCCCCCAAGTACTATAAGGAGTAATTCCTGAGTGCAGAGCCAGAGCATCGTTGGGAGTGACCCAAAAAGCCAAAAACAGCAACAACAACAAAAAAAACCCCTGTGATTTGATGTTAAAACATACAATTAAATGAACGATTTAGAGTAGCTGTTGAAGTTTCATGTTTGTCATGCTAAGGCTGAAATGGTTTAATCTTTTGCGTTTTATTTTTCTGTAGAGCATGGACCTGGAATTGATATATTTACTCCGGGGAAACCCGGAGAATATGACTTGGAAGGTGGGATATGGGAAGATGAAGACGCTCGGAACTTTTACGAAAACCTTATTGATCTGAAGGCTTTTGTTCCTGCCATCTTGTTTAAAGATAATGAAAAAAGTTGTCAGAGTAAAGAGTCGAACAAAGATGATTCTAAAGGTAAATTCTGAAGGCAGACCGTTTACATTAAGTGTTATAAAAGTTGGTTTCGAAGTGATAGTGAAGTTTTTTCTGCGGGGGAGCTGGAGACTTAGCTGGGGTTGAGCTGCTTGCCATGCATGTGACTCACCCAGGTCTGAAGGCTGGTACCATGTGGCCTTTCCTCCCCTTCAGCCTACACTGAGCACTGCCAGGGTGTCTCGGGGTCCCTGGCACTGCGGGGGCCCAGCAGCACTGCCTCAGCAGGCCCTCACGTGAACTGCTGACCTCACGGGCCACATGTGCAAGGAGAGGCTCTGGTCTACTGGGCTCTGCGGGGAGGGGTTCCCTCAGAGACACCTCGTGTGGCTAGTGGCTTTGTAATACGAACATTTAGTGATTAAATCAAACATACAGAATTTCCAGGACACTGTGTTCGTGTGAGATGTTGGTCAAATCAGACTTCCCCCTCGATAGATTGTTAGGGAAAGTATTAGTATGTAACAACCTTCACTTAATGTGCTCTTTGCAGACTGGACATCTCTGACTCTGTGTGACAGTGTGTTACTTTAGGAAGCTTTAGGACTATTGTGTGTGAAGAAGTCCTAATGACCAGTTACAGGATTGTGTGTGTGTAATTTATATATATATTATATATATGTTGGGGCAGAGGTTAGGTGGTACTGATTGGGATACCAGTTAGAATTATAAACCAATTTATTTTTCTTAAAATGTGCTTCTTCAGAATTAAAATTGAGGGCCTGAGTGATTGCACAGTGGGAAGGGCATTTACCTTGCATGCAACCAACCTGGGTTTGATCTCTGGCACCCTGTAAGATCTCCCAAGCCTTGCCAGGAGTGATCTCTGAGCACAGAGCTAGGAGTCAGCCCTGAGCACAGCTGGGTGTGGCCCAACTCCCCCCACCAGCCCCTGCCCCCCATAAAAACAGTTGATATTTTTGTCATCAACTATGGTTACCTCGTGGGAGAGCACTGTTAAGGACGAATAATCCTTTGAAATTATTAAAATCTCGGGACCTGTGCCATAGTACCATTGGTAGGGTTCTTGCCTTGCACATGGCAGGCCTGAGTTCAATCCCTGACACTCTCTGAGCCCCACCTGGAGCAATCCCTGAGCACAGGATAAAAAAAAATACACACTTTCCTTAAGATAAATTTTACTTTATATTTTATAAAGAGGTGATTGAAATATTTCATGGATTTCAAACAGTATAGGAAATAATATTCATAAAAATAATTTTACATATGCACTTCCCTGTTTTGGTAGTTAAAATTCTAAAAACTTTCTCATCGATAGCTAATTGTCTTTGGCTTTTGGTTTTGGGAGTCACACCCAGTGGTACCAAGTCCAGGCCTCACACTCAGGCTTTTGCGCTCTGCTCCTACCCTCATAGGTGCGTTGGAAGTCTTGTTGAGGACCAGCTTGTTTTGTTTCTTTTGTGCTCACACCGCCAGTTCTCGGGGCTAACTCCTGTCTCTGCTCAGGAGTCAGTCTTTATTATTTTGTTTTTGTTTATTTTTCTCTTACCTGGTGGTGGTGCTCAGGACTTACTCTGGGCTCTCTGTGCTCAAGGATCACTTGGCTCGGGGGACCATGTGGGGTGCCAGGAATGGACCCTGGTAATTGAAACGCTTGCAGGCAAGTACTTTACTCCCTGTTCTGTGTCTTGGCTGTGGGAGAATCACTATTGTTAATGCTCTGGGGACCTTATGTGATCCTGGGCTTGGCTCAGCTACGCAAAGGCAAGTACCTTCACCCCTGTACTAGCTCTCTGACCTCCAGGACTAAGTTTCAAACATTGCCCTGTTTCAAAGCTGGAGCAGTAGTACGGCGGGGAGGGCGTTTGCCTTGCACGCAACCAACCTGGGTTCGGTCCCTGGCATCCCAGAGAATACTGCCAGAGTATTGCCAGCTATGACCCAAAAAGCCCCTCTCTTCCCCCAAAACAAACATTACTGTGTTTCAGTTAGTTTTAGGGATGGGAGAGAACTGTGATCCCTGCCTGGTCTGCCTTTTCATACTGATACAGTTCCATATAGTCATAAACCACAGATCCTGATGGTTTGCTTTGTTTTTAAGGAGAGGTGAAAGAATCTAAGGATAATAAGGAGGTTACAAATCCTGATGATTTGGAACTTGAATTGGAGAACCTTGAAATTAATGACGACACTTTGGAGTTAGAGGGTGGAGATGAAGCCGAAGATCTCACAAAGAAGCTTCTTGATGAGCAAGGTAAAGCGCAGTTTTGCCAAAAAAAATTTTCTGTTCTTTTTGGGCCACACCTAATGATGCTCAGAGGGTGTCTACATTCTACATCCAGGGATCACTCCTGGCAGTGCTCAGGGGACCAGATGGGGTGCTGGGGATCAAATCCAGATTGGCCACTTGCAAAGCAAGCACCCTCCCCACTGTACTGTTGTTCTGGCTTGCTTGCCAAAACCGTTGTCATTTGCGGAGAGTGAGATGGGAACTAAAGCTTAGAGTTGTGAAGCATATGCCCTACCACTAAACTGAGCCCCGAGTCCCAAGATTTTGTAAGAGTTTGATTAATTGATCATTGGTTTGTATTACCAGACCCTTTCACTTCTCTGTTGAAGTGTGTTAGACTCCTCACCCGCCAGAACCGACTGTCATCTCGCCATCAGAATGACCCCGCTGCTTTTCCTTTTTTCTCTAACATGACCACCTTGGTTTTATTAAGTCTGCCTTAAGAATTAGAGGAGGGGGCAGGGGTTGGGCTGTTTATTTGCTTTAGTTAATTCTGATTCATAGGAACGAACCCATCCGAGAGTCTTTATCAATAACTTGAGGGGTGGGTGCACATGCCATGATGGAGACTGGGTAAACCCGGGGCGTGCGCTCTACATTGGCACCCCGTCCCGACACTTCTGAGGCTTCCTCTTGGCTCTCTACGCTGGAACTCTGTGTGCACGGCAGGCACCCTTCCCCGCTAGACTGCCACTGCAGCCCTCTGGCTGTCACCTTCTTTTCGATCAGGCAAGTCCCACAGTCAGTGTTGCTCAGGGCCATGTGGGCCTGGGTGCTGGCGGGCCCCACAGACAGTGCTCAGGGCCTCTGTGCTCACGGGCCTCCTGCATGTGAAGTGCGAGCTTCAGAGTGTTCGCTGGCTCCACAACCCATCACTTTTTTAAATTTGATTTAGACATTACCGATATTAAAGGACTAAGAGTTTTAGTGATCCTGTAAGTGCTAAATATCTTAATAGATAATTCTGTACTTACACTACGACTTGTTATAATTGTCCTGAGTTTATTTGAATGCTATGACATAATCTGTGCAGTTTTTTAATTTGGTGTTTGGCCAAACACCTGGCAATGCTAAGGGTTTTCTCCAGACTCTGAGCACTCTGCGATTACTTCTGGCGGTGTTTGGGGACCATATAGGGTGCCAGGGGTCAAACCCATGTCAGCTGTGTACAGGGCAAGCACCTTAATCTGTCAGCTCTTGTCATCCAAGGAGGAGGCAGATTCTTTCCCACTGTGTATGTATGAGTTGCCTGAATGGTGGTGCCAGGCTTGGCAGTGCGCTCCCCTCGCAGCATCCCATGAAACAGGGAAGCGTGTTCTGCTTTGCCCAGCAATGGAAGGGCCATTAGTCAGGCACGGAGGCCAGGACTGTGCTCAGCTGTCGAGCACTTGCCTTATATGCATGAGGCCATGGGCTCAAGCCCTGGCACCACCAGAGTCATTTAAAAATAGAAAATTGATACAAAACATGCCTTCAGTTGTGATAAAGATTTTGTGTTTAATGTGGAAGCTTGCCTTTTATAGTTGGCATCTGAAAGGTGGAGTCGATTCAACAAATGCTCTACTTTGAGATGGAGCTGTTCCGAATCCTTGTTTGACCTGACCCATCTCTTCACGTAGGGCCCACAGTTGCAGAGTACTATTTTCAACCAGAGGTGTGGACACGATTTTAGAGATGCCCAAACATCTCAAAAGATACTTTCTATTTTCATAAGTAAAAACAGAGCCCTAGACTGTTCTCTGGGCAATTGATGATGGGGTGTTTTCATTCTCTGTCTCTCTGTGTGGTTTTAATCCATTTAAATACTGTATCAGAACAAGAGGATGAAGAAGCCAGCACTGGATCTCATCTCAAGCTCATAGTAGATGCTTTTCTCCAGCAGTTGCCCAACTGTGTCAACCGAGATCTGATCGACAAGGTACGAGCTTCTCTCTGCAGGACACATGTGGCACACAAGTGGGAGAGGCATGCTTTCCTGTGGAAGGAAGGGCCTGCGCTGTTTCAGCCAGTCCAGAGTGAATAGTAAAACGGGAGCCAACTGGTTAGCGTCTGCTCTGGTTCAGAGGTGGGACTCTCCAGGTTCTGGTTGGCTCCATTGACCCTTCTGCACGTGGAGGCCCTGTGATTTGGAGAGTACTGTTTGAAAATGAAGGTTTCTTTTTGTGTGTGTGTTTTCTGGTTGCACCCAGCAGTGCTCAGGGCTGACCCCTGGCTCTGCTCAAGCATCACTCAGGGCTCTGGGCTCAGGACATCACACTGGGGTTCTGGGGATCACACCCGTGCTGGCCACATGTACGAAAGCACCTCACCCACTGTTGCTCAGTCCCTAGTACCCGTCCTTTCAATCAGGTGAAATGGGAAGGACATGTAAGTGCTTCTGCTGTCTCAAGAGAAGCCTCTCGTGTGGTGAGTCACAAGCCACACTGGTTGCTTTCCTCACAGCCCCTTTTATGTGGAAGGAAATGATGGGCGAACTGGTTGTGGAAACTCAGGGATTCATGAGGCATTTTTCTGACATGAACAGTGTAAGCCTGTCACCGAAGGGAAACAACCAAGAGTCACCAAATTTAAGTTTCCAACGAAAGCGAGCATTTCGGTAACTTAACGTTTACTCACACATTAACTCAGTAGCTTCCTAATGCTTTTCTGAGGAGACTTTCTTGATGAGACTTTCCTGTTAATACTGATGGCCATATTCAGTAGTGTTTTGGGGGGGTTGGGGGTAGGGGGCCATACCCAATGGTGATCGGGGTCACTTCTGGTGGTGCTTGGGAGATGAGGCTGAGTTGGGGAGTTGGCAACCAAGTGGTGGGACTGGGACCACGGGACCCAGATCTCCTGTGTATATGACATGCACTCCGCCCATTGAGCTCCTCTCTCCAGCCCGAAACAGGATTTTTTCAGTTTTTGGTTTCTCCTAGTAGTACTCAGGGGTTACTCCTGGCTCTGCACTAAGGGATCACTCCTGGCGGTGCTCAGGGGACTGGCTATATGGGATGCTGGGGAAGGGCATCTGGGTTAGCCCCATGCAAGGCAAGTGCCTTACCCGCTATATTACCACTCTTGCTCCCCTAAACAGTTTTTTAAATAGATCTGATTTTGGAAGATTTGTGAAACTCAGAAAATAGCTGTTTGCAGTGACTGGTGCAGTATTAACAAAATCTTGACTGAATTTTATTTAATTTGTTTGGTTTTTTTGGGTCATACCTGGCAGTGCTCAGGGGTTACTCCTGGCTCTGCACTCAGGAATTACTCCGATGGTGCTGGGGAACCATATGGGATGCCAGGGATCGAACCCGGGTTGGCCGCGTGCAAGGCAAACGCCCTCCCCGCTGTACTATCGCTCCAGCCCCATTGACTGAATTTTAAAGGATTCCAAGTGCAAGGTAGACCAATATGCTGTAACTGGCATGAAGTTTACTGATAAGTTTGATATTCCAAGTTGCAACTAACCTTTAAGAAACTTTGTCAATTGTTGCAAGAGTAGCAGAATTATGGCAATTATTGGGAAGTATATGAAACTCTGCCTCCCTTTCTAACAGCTGCATAAGTGTATGAAGTGATATTTTCTCCATATCTTCATCCACACCATATCACTACAGATTAAAAGTGTAAATTGATTGGAAAATCTAGCCACTGTTAAGGAATGACGGTCTTCTCTCACTGAATGTGTTTTCATTTTGATGAAGGAACTCTATTTCCAAAATATGTTTGCAATTAATAGGATTATTTGTATTATGAATGAATCTGTCTATCTAGTTTTGGTAGATCTGCTGATACTCGGGCACTGTACATGGCTCTGTTCTTGGGGACTGCCCCTAGTGCTATCGGGGGACCATGTGGTTAAGGGGATCGTACCTAGGCCTCCCATATGAAAAATGTGTGCTCCAATCCATGTGCTTTCTGGCCCTGAATTAGTACAATTTCTTTCTTTTGTGGTTTTGGGGCACATCCTGCAGTGCTCAGGGATAAAAAGAAATAGAAAGAAGGGCCAGAGAGGTAGTACAGAGGTAGTACAAGGCAAGTGAGTTACTTGCCTTGCAAGCAGACAGCCTGGGTTTGATCCCTGGCATCCCATATGGTCCCCTGAGCCCTCCAAGAGTGATTCCTGAGTGCAGAGCCAGGAGTAACCCTGAGCACTGAGTATATTCACACCACCCCCTTCCCCAAAAAAAAGAAAGAAAAAGAAAAGAGATTTAGTAGTAATTTTATGGTTCCTGGTAAGTATTCCTAAAATTTTCTAGTTAGAAAACATTCCTGATATTACTGTTCATTTTCTCGGCCTTAATGAGGTCAGAGACATTAACTGTTCTTTCCATATAATACTTGCAGTTATATCATAATAACTCTCCAGACTTCCCACTTGAAGATCTGGTAACAACACTAGGTTGCCCGTAGGATAATAAGAAACAGGATGAGCTAGGTGCGTAGGTTGCTGTTTCAAAGCTTAGGGAACATTATTTTGAGATTATTAAGGAAAGAAGATTTTAGTGATTATTTAATTTGGAAAATGCCTAAAATAAGGGTGTCTTAAATCTGTTTCAACTTGTTTATGAAGAAGTAGAAATGCATTGTAGCATGCAAGTTTTCTACCTTTCAATAACTAAATTGAGAGGCTGTTTCTTTTTTTTTGTTGTTTAAGAAAAATGTTTGCTTTTTTTCCTACTGCAGGCAGCAATGGACTTTTGCATGAACATGAACACAAAAGCAAATAGAAAGAAGTTGGTACGGGCACTCTTTATAGTTCCCAGACAAAGGTAAGTATTAAAAAAATTGTTAGTGTTCTTATAGTGATGATTTTAAGGTCAAAATTCTCATTTATTTTCTTTTGGAAATGTCTGTTAATGTCGTCATATTAGCATATTTCCTAGAACTTGTTTCTCATTAAAGTATATTCTTTATTAGCTCTAGTGAAATTCTTTAACACTGATGTTAATTCTAAGAGAAAATATTTTAGGAATAATAGGCAACTTAAGTATAGCAATAGCCTAATCTAATAGCTAGAAATAATTTTGCCTTGAGAAGAAAGAAATTTCTAAGTTTTGGAGAGTGTTTTAATTTTGTGTAAAGACTATACCAAGTATGTCTAATTCTCAGTGGTGTTTAAATGAAAATTCTCAAATTCTTTTTTGTACTTATGAAAGTTTAGAAATTAAAGTTTTATATATAGATACGTATATATATTTTTTGCTGGCAATTCAGAATCTGGTAACGGAATCTGGTATTCAGCTGTATTGTGCTTTTGTCAATTCAGATGCTTGAGGTTACACCAAATTAATTTACCTGCATATTTCAGAATCAGGCATACGCTATTAATCTTAGGAACTTAGGAGATCCACTTCTGTTTATTTAACTTTGAATTAGAAAAGAATTTCATTAGCTACTATTTCACTAGCTATTATGGTGCCCGTGTACAACAGAAAGAGGATCGATACTCAATGAGAATTCTGAAGGGTATCAACTGACGGGTTTCTTAAGCAAAACTTTAACTTGGTCCATTCATTGTTGTAGGTTCCCTGGTCTCTTAATAATAGTCAGATTTTTCCCATGAGAGCTCACTGCTTCCTTTCTTCTGGGAGACTGGGCTCCGGCAGAGCTGGTGGTGCTCCGGCTATCTTCTGCTTATGCGGTTGGAGCCGAGTGATGCTGGATTGAAATCAAGTGGCCCGCAGCAGCGCATGTGCTCAGCTGCTTGCCCATTGCTCTGCTTGCTTTCCTGAGTGCTGAGGGATCGGGCGGGCGGACGGGCCTCTCGAAGGCAGGCAGAGCTTCCCACTGAGCCCCAGGCCCAGCCTTTTTCTTGTCTCTTGATTTCTGGCTCATGGCAGTTACACTAAAATGAGAATTTGCTTCTTCATTTTAGCAAGACACGGAAGATCAAGCATGCTGGTACATATTGTAGAAAATGAAGAATTGTCTAGTTGAGGGGCCGGAGTGATAGTACAGTGGGAAGGGCTCTGGCCCTGCACGCAGCTGACCCGGGTTCCATCCCCGGTGCCCCGTATGGTCCCCTGAGCACTGCCAGGAGTGATTCCCGAGTGCAGAGCCAGGAGGAACCCCTGAGCATCACCGGGTATGGTCCAAATCCCCCAAAAAGATTTATCTAATTGAAAACTCCTATAGATCAGTGTTCTTTTTTTTTTTCAATTATTTATTGAATCACTGTGGGAAAAGTTACAAAGCTTTCAGGTTTAGGTCTCAGTCATGCAAATATCAAACACATTTCCCCTTACCAATACTTATTTTTTACCACGAAGAACTCCAATAAAACTCCACCCCCAATCCCCTCCCAATGCCTGTGAGGCAGATGAATTCTAGTTAACACTTTATCTACTTTGACTAGATTCATTGTTTCGATAAAAGATGCACCATTATTATTTAGAGTTTACCTCCCCCCCAAAATCAGACATGCTGAAAAAGCATTGTGAAATGATTTGCTTTCTATAGCTGGGTTCAAGAATTAAATGTTGTTGCGCGGCCGCAATAGCAGCCGTGTGGTTTTGGATTTCTGCTATTTTACTTATTAATCCTGGAAGTAGATCAGTGTTCTTGTTATATAAACTTACCTGCTACATTTTATCAGATCTAGGTGCCATTACTCAGGAACAGGTTGACCTGTTTTCTGTATACAACTGGAAAGAAAAACTCAGCAGTTACTTCTAGTATTTTAATTTGGAGACACCTTTTAATAAATTAATAAAACCTCAAATGATTTACTTCCTGGATATTCTGGGCTGAATATTTTTCAGATGATCCTTTTCTCTAATTTACACAATTAAATGTAAATTTTTCATATTTTTCTTTCCATCTCTTTGAAGAAACATAGTTAAAACTTTTGTGCTTATAGTTTGTTTGGGGGGGCGGAGGGTTGGGCCACACCTGGCGATGCTCAGGGTATTTCTTGCTCTGGACTCAGGAATCACTCCTGACAGTGTTTGGGGGACCAGATGGGATGTCTGGGATTGAACCCTGCTTGGCTACATGCAAAGCAAGCATCCCTGCTGCTGCACTACCTCTCTGGCCCTGTACTTAGAATATTTATAACTTATTATTGACTGAACTGAACTTCCCAGAGACAGAAAGCTTAGATAGAAGTCTTGCAGTAATGGTTTGGATGTTTACTTGTAAAATGACATCTTGCTTAATTGGCTTACCAGTCCATCCATCTCTCCCTTTACTCTTCAGAGTCCTCAGAAACTCCCTATTATTTGATCTTTAGCCAGTCCATACCCTTAACAACAGTCTCTCTGCTTAGATGAGTTGACAGCTGCAAATTAACATAGACTTGAAAGTAGTAGAAAGTGACAATTTGTGGTCTTGGTTCTTTGTTTGGTTTGGTATGTCTGGGTCACAGCCAGCGATGCACGGCCCTCACCCCAGCTCTGCTCAGGCATCATTCCTATTGGTTCCTGGTGACAGTGTATGGTGTTGGGGTCCAGCCTTGGTCAGTCGCATGCACGGCAAGTACCCCGCCTGCTGTACAGTCTCCCCACCGTTGTGAGGAGAGAAAACATAAGGAAAAATACAAGCTCTTAAAATACATAGCAGTATATGGACCATGTATAATCTTAACAGACTTGAAGTGTATGAATAGAATAATTTAGGATTCTTAATCAGCTTGGGTGCTCAGAAGACTCTGTTATGTTCTGAGTTTATCCAATTGTGAATTCATTAAAGGTGTACTTAAATATGGTGATTAGTGGTGAACAAGGCCTTTGGACTCATATAGCATGCAGTTTGAAGAGGAGCAAAGACAGTTCTAAGTGCAGTTCCTAAGTAGCAGCTCAGCATCTGTGGAAGTATACAGCAAGTGGGACCAGCGGGTTAATCTTGGAATCAGAAGGCTGCCTGGAATAAGGATCATATACTTCATCTAAGCCCGAAAGAAGGAGTTGGCTAGGGTAGGGGTGGACACAGCAAGTGGATTTGGGGGTGAGGGTTGCGGATTCGGGCCATATCTGGCTGTGCTCTGTGCTCGGGGATCGCTCCTGGTGTTGCCTAGGCACTGTGTCTAGTGCTGGGGATTGACTTGGGTCAGGCTCAAGCAAGGCCTGTTGGATCTCCAACCCCAGAGAGGGGTTTTCTGAGAGGCAGCAGTATGTTCAGGGGCCGGAAGCAGGAAAGGCTGTGATGGCAGAAACCTCTCTCTGTTGGTGACCCTGGACGTTGTCCTCCAGACCAGGAAAGGACAGAAGCAGGCCTTGTGTCTTTTCTCATCCCTACCACTTAGCACATGCCTAATATGTAGCAGGAGAGAAGATACCATAACATGACATTTGATGTCCATTGTTAATCTAACCTGCTGTCAGCTTCTTTAGTCGCAATTATATCCATTTTGGCTCTTGCAAAATCCCAACTAGTAATGATTTCATAAATAGTCGTTGTTCTTTCTTTCTGCTTCCAAGTCTCTTGTTCACGACTTTATTTCTTTATTTGAAACCCCCCCCCCCCCCCCCGCCATTCTGTGGGTCCCCGTTTAAGCCTCCGGTTAGTGTCAGTCCATTTTCTCTGAGCAGCCTTCCTTGGTCCCCTGGTGGCTGCTGGTATTCCTTTCCAGCACTTTGAACAAAGTGTCACCACAAGTGGTTAGGCACGTCTGTCCAGGTGGTGGTCTCTCTGTCCCCGGATTCCCCCAAACTAAACTCACACACCAGAGGACTAGGTCTGGCAAAGAGCAGGTGCTTGAAAGTATTTGATGAATTAATGTTGGTCTTATGCAAGTTTAAAGTTTTATTTTAAAACAGTGTGTTCCCGAGCCACAGACTTTCTGCTGTTTAAAGCATGCTGGAAACTTTTCTGTCCCTGTCTTACCCGGTCATGTGCCTCATGTCTCCCTGTAGACAGCCTCTGTCTTACTACTGGGTGCGTGCCCTTCCAGGGTTTCTGTAGAATGAATCAGAAAAGGCAATGATAGAAACTTTCTCTGTTTTTTCCAGTAGGGCAGCATATTATTCTTTACCATTTTTCACTGAATCTGTCTTGTCTTAGAGATCTTTTTATACAAATACGTGGAGATGTCTTCTTTTTTCAGGCTGTATTTCATTTTATGAATGTGTTATATTTATGGGGGGGGGGGGCACTTTTTTTTTCTTTTTAATTTTGGTGCTGGGCTACACTTGGCGCCTCCTGGTGTGCTCAGGGGACTATGTCCCGCCCAAGGTCAGGCCTGGGCCTCTTGTATGCAGAGTATGTGCTCTTGTCCTTCGAGCTATTTCTCTGACACCACCCCCTCCCCCTGCGATCTGTAACAAATCGTGACTTTCCCAAGATAGATATATTTTCTTTCAAAACCATCAGTTCTGCTCCATTCATGAAACTTTTTATTATCAGTTACATTTTTCTGATTGTACTCTTATGCTGCAGCATCATGCAAGGCACTCTACTGCAAACCGGCGCTGGATTTGGGCACCCTCTTGCAAATTCTTGCCTCAGTGTGTCACTGCATTTGCATGGTCTTTTGAGTATAGATTTTGGATGAAGTTAATAGCACTAGTCCGATTTCCTCTGCATGGGTGAATAGGAATGAGATGAGATTCTGGCTGTCCAAGTGTGCACACACTAAAAAAAGACTTCTATAAAGTATTATTATCCATGCATTTTACAATTTATTAAATATCTCCTCTCTGTATAGCACTATTCAAGAAACGAAAGAGAATGCAGCACTGCAGGATTTGCTCTGCCTTTTCTGAGCTGCTGTTGCTCTGGCCCATTTTTTCTGACTCTCAGAAAAAAACATTTTATTTTTATTTTTTAAGGA